CCCCAAAACCCCAAAACCCCAAAACCCCTTTTTAACTAAAAATGGTTGAACTTGGCTTAATTTAGCTAGAAATAGCATGCACTCGCAACTTCTAAATTGCAAGACTTGTTGTCAACTCAAATGTCTACCTCGAGCAAATGGGTGATTTCTGTTTCTGACTCAGTCTCATCTCCCTCAAATAACTCTGAAAAAGTTTCATAGCTGGTCTTATTAGCATCAGAAGCTAAAGATTCAAGGCAATAGACTTACAAGAATTAGGGACGAGACTGTTTAAGGTGTTACGAAGCTTCTTCTTTTTATTTGATCTCTCCAATAGTATAAGGTGGGATTAAAGTCTCTTTTTCATATCTAAAGCAGGAGACTCCAATTTTATTAAGCTTGCCAGCATTATAACATCCACTCCTTCAAAATCACAAGGAATACTTACTTGATATTGAACTTTACTATAGTGTTGGCTTTCTTCTCTACAGAAGACTGGTATCTTGCGAATTTCTTAGCTTCACGCAAATCTTCACTTCAGCAACTCCAATTTACTATCCTGAAGGGCTTCTCTAATTTGACATTACTAAAGATTTCTGTGCAAACTCCTCTATACACCACTCTGTCTTCTGTGTTGAATCCTGTTCCTTTGTCAACAATGTTGGAGTTGAGGAGCCTCATGAACTTGATGCTTTTATCAATGATTTCTGTATAGGTTTTACCTGACTCGGCTATCACCTGGCACATAAATTTAAAATTTTCCTCTGACAGATCCTTATGGAAAGTCATTACAGAGTCAACAATTAGTGCTGCATTGATGAGTCTTGTGAATTTTCTAAAAAAAGAAAGTTAATTGGATTCATTGACATAAAACTTACTTCTCTTTAGTCCAGATAGAAGTGACTACTTTTGAGGTTGATGCCTTATGCTTCTCATATAAATCATCAATGAAGCTTTCTGAATATATACACTTGAGGTCATCCAAAGCGTCCTTAATAGGAGGGTATCTCTCTGTCTTGTCAAAACATTGCATATAATGAGTAGCTGTAAATAGTTTTGGCTTAACCGCAACTGGCACATTGTGTTTCTCCATATCCTCCAACTCTTGTTCCGAATCCTTTTCTCCTGTATTCTCTAAAATTTCAAAAGAGGCTTCACCTTCCTTATTTTTTGATAAGGCAAATAATGATCCCATTCTCTTTTGTTGTATTTTTTATAACTCAACCTCACTTATTGACAGTGGGGTTTTGGGGTTTTGGGGTTTTGGGGTTTTGGGG